AGTCTCCGAAGTCCCTAATAGCCACAATGTGGTTTCTTTTGACGCAGCATTTCGGATTACGAGGTCGTCCGGAACACCACGACATGTATGTCGAAGATTTTTCATTCAGCAAAGACGACAATGGCGTCGACTACATCACGTACGAAGAAAATCCCACAAAAACGCGTCAGGGCGGCCTTCGCAAAAAAAGAAGAGTGGTTCAGCCGAAAATGTTTTCAACTGGTGGGCCAAGATGTCCAATCAAGCTTCTAAAGACGTTCCTGTCACACAGACCCGAGGAAATGAAAAGCAGTGGGCCATTTTACTTCGCGGTGATTGAGCGCCCTAAGTCTCAAGTGTGGTAGAAGCGACAGAGAATGGGGATCCACAGCATTAATTCCTTCATGAAATCTTTGGCTGTTCAGGGCCAGATTGAAGGTAAACGGCTCACAAACCACAGTGCACGCAAAACGCTGGTGAAGAAACTCAAAGCTGCCAACCAACCTCGCTCCGCAATTATTGGCGTCACTGGCCATACAAACGAGCGCTCTTTAGCCGACTACGAGGAAGGCGATGAAAATGAACAACGGCTGATTTCCTTAATCATAAGCTCTGACGGTCAGGCAACCATGTCCAACCAACGCCGTCCTCTTCAGAATGTTGGCCTTTCCTCTGGTGTGGAAAACACGCTGATGATGAATGAAGAGCGGTTGACGACAGTTAACAATTTCCACAGCTGTCAAGTGACCATCAAGTACCAGCTTAGCCAGAAGTTTCCCGAGCCGAGGTGCANACCCGAGGAAATGAAAAGCAGTGGGCCATTTTACCTCGCGGTGATTGAGCGCCCTAAGTCTCGAGTGTGGTATAAGCGACAGAGAATGGGGATCCACAGCATTAATTCCTTCATGAAATCGATGGCTGTTCAGGGCGAGATTGAAGGTAAACGGCTCACAAACCACCGTGTACGCAAAACGCTGATGAAGAAACTCAAAGCTGCCAACCAACCTCGCTCCGCAATTATTGGCGTCACTGGCCATACAAACGAGCGCTCTTTAGTCGACTACGAGGAAGCCGATGAGAATGAACAACGGCTGATTTGCTCAATCGTAAGCTCTGACGGTCACGCAACCACGTCCAACCAACGCCGTCCTCTTCAGAATATTGGCCTTTCCTCTGGTGTAGAAAACACGCTGATGATGAATGAAGAGTGGTTGACGACAATCAATAATTTCCACGGCTGTCAAGTGACCATCAACTACCAGCTTAGTCAGAAGTTTCCCGAGCCGAGGTGCAGTGTTCCACAGGCAGAATCGATTGCAGATGATTGTTAAACTTTGATTGATAAGCCTATTAAAAACTTTCACTCTTTAGAACTGAGATTTACAGACATTCGAGTACAGTTTCGTCACAGTTGTGTGATGTTTAAGCGATCACATGTTTAATCACATGTTATTGTAAAGCCAAATCAACTGCGC